CACTGAGTGTCAATGGGGTGAGGGAGTGGGGGTGCCATGTGCAGTATGGGGTCTTGGGCTTGATATGGTGCCTGCACCACCAATCTGCTGGCCATTGTTATCACCGGAACCTCCCTCTTCAGGTCAGGTTTTACTTACATAACGACGGGCTTTATAACTGCATCCCCTTTCCTTTTTGTACGATTTACTGATGTGTTTTGTCTGCATGTGTGTCTGGAGCATGTGCATACAGCACCCATGACTAAAAGGAGGTGTTAGATTCCCTGGAACTGGAGTTACAGACAGTTGTGAGCCACCACGAGGGTGCTAGGCACTGAGCCGGGGTCCCCTGTAAGAGCAGCTAGTGCTCTTCGCCACTGAGTCATTTCCCTACCCCCTCATCCCCATTTCTTAAAAGTGTTGTAAAGGCCAAAGACTGTAAGCCATGCTAGGTGTCTGCACCAGTGAGCCCTGGGGAAACTCTGCCCCGGCCACCGTACTCCACAGTCCACCCGAGTGCTCCACCAAGAGCTGCACTAAGGTAACAGAGTGTCACACATTGTAATGGAAAATCGAAACAGAGAAAACATGTTTTAGTCTGGTGTTATACATGATTCTGGTTAAAGCATACAAATCATAGGAATAAAACCCATTTGGTTACATCTAGCTTGTAAATCCCATGCTTTACAATGTTAATGGTTTACTGGAAAATGTGAGATTAAGGCGTAATTTTAGCAGGTCTAGTTTTCTTTCCTTTTCTTTCTCTTCTTCCTTCCTTCCTTTTTCTTCCTTCCTTCTTTCCTTTCACCCTTCCTTCCTTTTTAAGCACAGACAGATTTCTTAGGAAAACAAAGCTACATCTTGACTAATAAACTCCACACTGCTCTGGTTGAAAACCCAGCCATGCCTGGAATCTGTTCATGCCTTCACTTCCATTAGTACACACTACATAAGCCAAGCCCACCATGAGTGAATCAGAATTAATAACCAAATGTTTGCTTTGGGGTGGAGGGAGTCACTGTCCTCACAAGAACAGACCTGGTCTCATCTTGCCCTCACTGTGACCCTCTTTCATTGCCAGAAGAAGGAAAAGCAAGCTGGAGCCCGAGGAGGAACAGAGCCACATCCTGGAAGCGGCCCCTGACCCTGGTACTCTCTCTTAGCGTTTCCTGTCTCAGCGACGTGAATGCGTTCACAGAAAGGTCGATGATGCTGGGGCCAGTGACCACTCTTAGCAGTTCACCCAGGACGTAAAGGATATGACATTAAGCACCAGGAGCCCCCCCCCCTTTTAGTGCAACAGGACAGGTGAAGAACTCCATGAGTGACCGGGAAGCAGACACTGCTCCCAAGTTCTAGCACACACTCTTCAGACCTGTCTATATGCAAGAAAGAGCCCGTCTCAAAACATAAAGGATTGGGCTAGGTGTCCATTATATCCCAAGAAGGGCTCCTTGCAGCATCAGGTAGGAAGATGGCCAAGGGACCTCAGTCAGGACCCATCCTGGTCCAGACCTCTATACTGGGTATAGAGCATGCACCCAATAACCTGCAGCTTTCTAAATCATCGCCATTAGTGACCAACCCCACAAAAGGACTGGGCCATCAGATTCCTAAGAGCGTAGCTTGTCTTCTGGGTCATGCGTCAGGCCACACACCACAGGCCCAGGTTCAAAGCCTAGAGATCAGGCTCTGTGAAGCATGTCTGGAGCAGGCTGCATGAAGACAGGCTGGTTTACCAGGCCAAAGGCTGGACTGCTGGAGCCAGGCTGGCTCGCTGCGGCTGTGCCCCACGGCCGGTTTCCTTGGCCAGCCCACTACGGCTTCTCAGACATTTTGATGTGGCATGCAGATTCCATGCTAATCCCTCGGACATTTCTTGTTTCCAACCTCAGAACTTCAAGACATATGGGGGTCTCCACGAGTCACCAGGGTTGCCCGAGGAAGTGCCTCGCTCCCACCGACCCACCTCAAGAAACAAGGAGGGTCCCGGTCATGTGCTGCCAGAAATGGCTCTGCAAGAGCTCTGGCTGTGCTGTAGACCAGGGTTCAATTCCCAGCACCCACATGGTGGCTCTGGCTGTGCTGTAGACCAGGGTTCAATTCCAGCACCCACATGGTGGCCCTGGCTGTGCTGTAGACCGGGATTCAATTCCCAGTACCCACGTGGTGGCTCACGACTATCCATAACTCCAGTTCCAGAGACCCTGACACCCTCTTCTGGCCTCCAGGGCCATCAGAAAGTCAAGCAGTGCAGACATACATGCAGGCAAAGCACCACACACACAAATAAAACAAAACCATAAAAACTGCAGGCCAGCGAGGGAAAAGAGAAGTTCATTTGGAAAGATTTTCCATCATCAGCAAGACCTTCCAGAGGCTGAGAGAAATGTCTGGGGTGATCTATGAAGTGACAAAGTGATAAACGCCGGAGAAGTGATGGCTTTTGAGGGGAAAGTTCTCCTTTAGTATGAAGAGAACTCCTGGGCTCCATCATAGTCAGGCCACACCATGTGAGGAAGGATGTGTGTGCTCTCTGCTCATGAGGGCTCAGGCTGGCCTGGCTGCAGCACAGCCAGCGTTCCATGCTGTGATGGCTCATCTGCATTTAGACTGGACTCGGACTCACCTAGGAGACGCACCTCGGGGTGTGTCTGTGTGAGGGTTTCCATGGAACTGAGAGGGCAGACACACCGAATGTGAGCGGCACCGCATTCCAGACTAAATAAAAAGGGATCTAAATAGAAAATCTTCTGAGTGTTGTCACCCCAGGGTCTCTGCACCCTGGTCCACGTCCCTGCTCTGCCCCAACTCCGTTGTACCATCCATGGCAGACACCATGCTCTCAAACCTTAGGCCAAAGTAAATTCTTCCTCCTACCTGTTGCCTTTTGCCAGGTATTCGGTTACAGTAACAGAAAAGATAGCAATCAAATCCACCTCAAATCAAATGGCCCAGCCCCTCCTAGAAGATGCAGAGCCAGGTGGACCCTGTACCCAGCCACTGGGGTCACATCGGGGACTCTAGCTCATTCAGTTTGGCACAGACAAAACCCTCTATGATGATGACACATCCAATAATAGCGGGCAGCACCTGTCTTCTTAGGAGCTCTGCTCTTCCCGCACAAGCCCAGCACCCTCCACTGCTGGCCACGCCCACATTCTCCCCAGAGGCTACATGCCCTGCTCCTCTGAGGTCTAACCCATCAGAGTCTTTTCAGTTCTAGTTCCCCCGACTCTCTTAGCAGACACCGCTGCCCTCCTCCTGCCGCCTCCACTCCTCTCCTCCTGGGCACCCTTCCCGTGAAGGTCTCCCAGTCTCACCGGCCTGCACCATCACTGAACACCAACACGTATCTCTGCTTGAGCACACCACACTTCTCACTACCTCCAGACCAACACTAAACTCCTTAGCACAATGTCCAGAGATCCCCGACCAAACACACTCTCTGTCACATCTTGCTACATTTATCCACCATTCCCACAGCTTTCCTGTCACTTGGGGTGGCCTTCCTACCTCTACCTACAACTTGCATTAATCCTTTGAGACCCCAGTCAGTGTTGCCTCCTCTGGGAAGCGTCCTGCGTCCTCTGATTTTGAGTCATTCTATCCCATGTAACTGGGTAGTGCTTTCTGCATATCTCCACACTGAACACCACACGGAGTGGCAGTTGTGTGTTCCTTTACTGGTTTCCCCAAAGACGAGGCTTCAAGTACCTCTGGGGAAGGGACTATATTTGTGTCTGTGGACCAAAGCTGCACAGAGGGCTCACACGGGAAGAACTGCTCAACCTGACTGGCAATCTGAAGGCACGCTCACACTAAAAGGCAGGAAGGTGAAACACAATGAAAGAGCAAGAAGCTGGATGCTGGCAGCTGTGCCCTGCTCCTTCAGCTGCATGCTCTGAACACCTTCAGACCTCTGTGCCCAGCTTCACATCTACTGAGTGAGGAGGAGGGACTAAAGGACCCCACGGTCTGGCTAATGCTTCCATCCCACATCCAGAGTTTGCTTTCTCCTGTGTGGTATGTGTGAGTGTATATGGTGTGTGAGTGTGTGTGGTGTGTGAGTGTATGTGGCGTGTGAGTGTATGTGGCATGTGAGTGTGTGTGGTGTGTGTGATGTGAGTGATGTGTGTGAGTGTGCGGTGTGTGTGTGAGTATGTGGTGTGTGTGGTGTGTGCGAGTATGTGTGGTATGTGCAAGTGTATGTGGTGTATGTGGTATGTGTGATGTGTGTGGTGCGTGTGATGTGTGTCGTGTGTGATGTGTGTGGTGTGTGATGTATGTGGTGCGTGTGAGTGTGTGGTATGTGTGATGTGTGTGGTGTGTGTGATGTGCATGGTGTGTAAGGTGTGTGTGAGTGTGTGGTGTGTGAGGTGTGTGCGAGTGTCGATGAAGATCTTGACTGAATAAACAAGGGAAGGGAAAGAGGTAGGAAAGGAATGGGGGATGGGTCTATTAATATTAATATAACAGAAAAACTAAAGAACAATTTCGAGCTGGAGAGATGACTCAGTCAGTCCAGTGCTTGCTTTACAAGCATAGGGACACCCGTTCAGGACCCACGGTAGAGATGGCAGAGACGGCAGAGACAGTCGCTCCTGGACTCCCCGGCCAGCCAGCCTAGCCTAACTGGGGAATTCTGGGTAGACCCTTCTAAAATACAGCAAAAAAGTGGATGGTACCAGAACAATAGCACTCAAGACAGCCACTGTTTCCTGTGGTCTCCACAAGTACCTATGTGTGTATAACCAGACACACACATGTGCGCGCGCGCGCACACACACACACACACACAGAGTAATAACACTTCTCAAGAATTAAGACTCTCACTCATCCCCAGCTGCCCACTGCTAAGAACAGAAGACGTTCCTAGTTTCCGCCTTACACGTATCCAAGCCCATGGCTTATTAAATACTATGGACAAGCAAAAGTTTTGATAAAAAGCTAAGATGCCTCACAAAGACTAAATGACAAACACATGACTGAACTTTGCAAAGCTGAGCTTTGCTAGTTACCTGGTGACCCCGTACTCTGGTGGTGGCTGATACCTCAGGACGGCCACTTCTGTTCTTGCAGGCTGAGGTGCAGGGTAAGGTTTGACCATCTCATGGAGCACTCCAGGGTGCTGTTCACTGTAGTAAAGTCCGTGGTCTTGGTTCTTGCTGACTGGGGACATCATTGGCTTTGTCTTGAAGGGATATTCGGGTGGAGGACCACGAGGGTCCAGCGCTTTGCAGGCAGGCTGGGCTGGGGACGGCCCTCCTCCGGCTTTGAAGGCCTTTCCCGAGCTCGGGAGGTGCTGCTTAGCTCCGTTCCTCTCCAGTGACAGCTGCATGATCCTCTCGCTGAGGGATCGGACGTGGCCCTGCTTTAGTTCTTTCAGGGCCTCATCCTTGTGTGCCTGTCCGCTGTTGGCCCGGTTCACTGTGGGCCTCCCCTCTGTGCGGGACTTCTGACTGGTACCTCCGGCCATGTAATAAGTGTGGCCGAGGGGCCCCTGCGCTTGCTGCTGCTGCTGCTGTTGCTGCTGCTGCTGTTGCTGCTGCTGCTGCTGCTGTCCCCTGAAGAACTGAGACTGGGCCTTGGCCTCCTCGTACGTGGGCAACTCCTCATCGTTCTGCTGAGGCTGAGCGGAGCGGCCCTGCTTCTCCATCACCGTACTGTCCCCCTGGTGTTCTTGACCCTGCGGCTCCTGGCGGGCTGACTGGAAGACCATTTGTGGGTCTTCTTGAGGGAGGGTTTCCGTGGAAGAAAAGTTGGTGGTGGCGTGGGCTGGCCCTGTACTCCCCGTGGCCTGGTGCTGAATGGCCAGCAGGTTCATGTTCTCGGTCGGGGTGCCATAGCGCAGCTGCTCCTGGATCAGCCGCTGTAACACTGTTCCAGCGGCCACATCCTCAGAACCTCTCATCTCCACCTCTGGGGGCCTCAGGAAGTTCGGGGAGTGGAAGTTGGAGAGAGGGTCCTCCACTGAAAGACAAACAGGAACCGAACTCACAGGCTGTCTCTAGGAGACACCAACTGACATTCTAACCAGAGTGTCATTTAAAGACCCAGTTCCGAAGGTGCCAGCACCTGTACCCTGCAATGCCTCAAGGGACTGTTTCTCAAATTTTCTGAGACTCTGCTCGACCCCGCCCCCCCCGCCACCGCCCCAATCTCTTTTCTGTCTCCTCTGTGATCGGATCACACTTTCCCTTTCCTAATAGTTCTACTGTAGAAGAAACTGATCGAAGTCTTTCCATCATAAAAACAAAAAACTCTTCATCACAAAGCCAGCACCCACGGCCCTCTGCCAGATTGCTGTGGCGGCCCTCCATCCCTGCTTTCCTCTACCAGCGCTGTCTTCTGGTTTAACATTCAGGCCACTGCTCCAGCGCCTCCTTCCTGGCCCCATGTATACCACCTGCCTCTTCTAGTCTATGCTTCCCCCGAGCTCTTTCTGAGTCTCTTTCTGCCTCCACTGAACAAAATGTCCACTCGTTTTCAGCTCCTGCGTCATGATCCTTGTGTCCCACCTCTGCACGAGTAGCTGATGGCACTTAATAGCCACCTACTTCCAAGACACCTTTCCCTGCCCCAGCTCCTGTATCCTGTGTGTGTGTGTTTTTTTTTCATTTCTTGATTATTATCAAGAAATTTCACACTGGATGAATGAAGAAAGAAGAAACGAGCCCTAGTTCCTGTCCCACCTGCTCCCTGTCCAGCTCTTTCACACCCTCCCCGCCCGGGTGCAGGCTCTGCTAACCAGTTGCTGGGAGATTCCAAACAGCCCCCAAAGCCTCCTGCTTCTGACCTCTGCCTCCAAGCTCCTTTCCCTCCCTGTACAGAGACCAGTGTGGTCTATACAGTCAGTTCCAGGCTAGCCAGGGCTACGCAGAGACACAGCAACCCAACAGTAACAACTGTAACAATGGACATCCCAAAGGAAGGCAGCCTGTGTGGGTTTCACTGGCTGTCTCATTGTCCTGAGACTGTGTCCTTCTCCTGTCCAGGACACCGTTAAGTATTAGAGTTAGGGACATAAGGGAATGGAGCATTTATCCCCGAAGTCACAGATCCTCAAGACTTAAAAGTTTAGATAAAACTAAGATAAACAAACAATTCCAGTAGAAAAACTTAGTTATGTGGATGAATAATAAATGGAGAGGGTCTCAGTAGGCAGGAAAACTACTAACTTTTTTCTCCATTGGAAAGAGGGGCACAGTTGTTGGAACCCTGGGACCCTTCCTGAGATGGCCTCGCCTCTCTCCATCACCCAGAGATACCACCTAGAAAGCTATTTAAAATGAGGGGTCCCTTATTTACTAAGGTTTTGAATTTATTTTGAAGCTCTGACTTATTTGCAAAAGCAAAAAAATGAAAGCAGAGAAGAGGGGAAAGAGGGACAAAGGATTTGAGACCAGGCAGGGGAAACATTTACAGCTTGAGCAGAGAACACCTGGGTAAGACGATGCAATTCTGACGCCTATGTATGAAGACTTGAGGTTCTCCTAGAGGGAGTTACATAGAAAATCGTCTTTTTCTATGGTGTGTGGGGGTGAATGCGTGTGTTTGATGGGCACACCCGTGTGCGTGGAGGCCGCAACGTCACGTGTTGCTCTCCAGAGCCGTCCTTATTTTTCTTAACAGAACATCCTTTATTCATTCTCTGAAAATTCCATACACGTAAATGATGTACCCCTTCCCCAGGTCCCATCGTTTCCTGCCTGCCCCCACCGTCCTCTCCTTTTCTTTCTTCTTTCTTTCTTCCTTCTTTCCTTCCTTCCTTCCTTCTTTCCTTCCTTCCTTCCTTCCTTCCTCCCTTTCTTTCTTCCTTTCTTTCTTCTAACTTTTGTAACCCACTGGGTTCGCCAGCTGGGATCCTGGCTGAGGCAGCTGGACTGGTCCTGTGCAGGTCCCACAGCTGCTGTGAGTTCGATATGCCACGGCCGTGTCGTGAAAACAGCCTTTCCCGGCGCTCCTCCCTCTCCCCAGCTCTTACGTCTGTCCTCTCTTCCACAGTAGCCTCTGAGCCTTGCGGTGGGGGAGAAGGCCCCCTTAGTCTTTTGGGACCTGGAGACCGATAGCTAAGCCAGTGAGTCTCAGGGACCTGTCTCTCCCCACCTCACCAGAGCCTGGCTGACAAGCATGCACCACGCCCAGCTTCTTTACATTCTGGGATCCAACTCCGACCCTAGTGACAAGAAGTGACCAACTGAGCTATTCTCAAGCCTTAACGGCCTTATTAACATGGTACAACATGAATGAAATCTAGCATGAGAGCTCAGGACGGTGACTTTAGCCTAGAGAATAAAGAAACGCCTGCAAGATGGTAGCCCCTCCTTCACCCTCAACGACATGTTCTAGCCCTCAGGGGAATCCTGAAACCAAGGACGCTGCCAAATTCAGGAAATGTCACATGCCGGAGTGTGTGCGTGTGTGTATGTGTGTGTGTGTGTGTGTGTGTGTGTGTATAAAATTAACACAAATTATGCATGACAAGAAATTATCAGTGATAGACAATAGTAAAATCGATCCATGACAACATTCTGCCGTAACAGTATTTTAGACTTATGAACTATTTACTTCTAGCATTTTCCATTAATATTTTCAGATTGCCATTGACCTCGTGTCAATGTAAGTGGAAATTGAAAAGTAGTGGAAATTGAAGCCACAGGCACAAGGGTTACTTACTGCAGAGGAGCCAAAAACGAGAAACTCTGATCCGCCATGCTCCTAACAACCCGACAGCTAAGGACTTACCACTTTTTCCCCCTAGGCCTCCGCTTGCCTCCACTGTCAAAGTAGGTGCCTCATGCCTCCCGGAATAGAGCTGCAAGTCCGGGTAGAAGTAGGCGGGCTCTTCAAGAATCTGCACGGGGCTGCTGGGGCTGTAGCAGACACGGGGAGGAGCTGAGAGAGAGAAAATGATGTGTGTGTTAGTGCCAACCACGTGCCCCTCCTTCCTGGTGACTCACGTCCCCCACATGGCAACTGGCAGTGAGTCTGCCTGTTTCATTCATAAAATTCCAAAGGTACTTCCCACGACTGTCACAAATCCGGCCACTCACCAGGCTGACCCACAGGTCTCGTGACCTGCTGAGGGAAGGCACGACACTGTCACCAGAGCAGTGCCCACCATCCTCTGTGGAACTGCAGAGGCATGGGCTTTGAACTGGCCAAGGTAGAGGACAGAAAGGAGCAAGTGGAGCATTCCAGAAAAGGAAAGGTGAGAAGAGCAGCTGTCTCTCCAAAAATACACGGTAGAAGAGATGGCCACTCTGCCAGGCCATGTGTCAGCAAGAGAATGTCCCAGGCTGAGACACAGTGTGCCCTGGTCCCCTGTGAAGTCTCAGTCTCACGTTTCAGTAGACTCAGGGGCTTGGACCTGGGCCTCAGCCAAGCAATGGCCATTCAGCTCCTGTATGTGTTACACGCATGCACGCACGTGCGCACACACACACACACACAAACACACACGTTTAGTGAAACTCAATGCTGTACTTGGACCCACAGCTACCAAACCTGAGCTTCCACTTGAGGGACACTGACAACACATTTGCCAGGTGTATCCTCTGGCAGACCAGGCCACTTTCCTTCCCGCTCTGACACCTCTGTGTGGACACCAAAATTAAATAAAGCTCTGCAATTTCCCCCCATTTTCCTCTGCAGACTTATTATTTATAAAAATCCCTTCCTGCTTGCCTAAAAGAAAATTCCATTTTGGAAAGAAAATTTCAGCAACGGTTTTAAACCAGGCATCTGAAATTTCTCCTAGGTTTTGCACAAAACCAGAGCTACTAGTGACTCATGACACCAAGGGCCAGAAATGCAGCCTCTCCCCGAGCCGTTGGACCTCACGGGTGAAATAGCATTTGTGCGTGTGTGCACTGTATCACAGGCATGTTTGACCCAGAAAGATATGATTAGGATTTCCACAGCTGAAATACTCTTGTAAATTTAAAATAAAAAAATCTAGTTAGGACTCTCACCTTAGGGATGATTACACTAAACAGGAAAGACATAGTGTACCAAGATCAGTCTAAAGCTGCAGTCCTAATGCCCGAGGCATCTCCTTCCAGCAACATGCAAAGACTGCC